ATATTCGTTTAAAAAAACACCCACGAATGCAATTTCATTTTTTGAAGGGGTGAATCTCCTGCATTTAGCAATGACCATCGAAATAATGGAAACATTCAAATCACATTGCGTAAGCAAGAAAGCTTACTTTGTAAACAAATAAATCTACTAGTTATACAGTAGAGCATTGAAACCTTTCTTTCCCCATAATTATCTATATCACAATATTCGCAGGCTGACTGTAACTTTTGTATTATATTTATGAGAACATTATGTTATTATGTTTAGAACTACAAATATCATGTCTTCTTCATGATTTGTTTATAATTCGTTTCTACATATGGCATACTAACTTTTAGTTCAACAATGATGTATGTAAATTATTCTTTTGAACGTATACATTTAAGTATGTTTCTCGTTATGTATTATCATTTTGATTGTAAATAATGTACTATTCGAATTTATGTTGCGCCGTATGATCGTTTTTTCGTTGAAATGAATACATTTTTAATGGAATTGAAAATTATACCTAACACTTAACTTGTCAAGGAAATTAAATGAACACCATGTTTGTTTTTTATGCTGCCCTCTTGCGGGCAACGCTATGTAATTACTGATTTGTGTAATGTTGGATGACCTTCGCAGTTCGACCGGCATATTGTTGACGTATATGCATGTCCCAATAAATGGTTGATTAAACTCTGAATTATTGTGGCTTGGAGCCTTTTTTAATGTCGTTGTGACAAGAGATATACGTACTCTGAAATTTACTCTTTATAATTTTGGCTGTTCCGATATAATTATGTCAGCCATTCAATTGGCAAATCCTGTGTCTTGATTAGCCTGGTAGGCGCTCTAGTCAGACAAAATGATACACGCTCTATCCTATGACGCCTTGGATGTAAACACATTATGTAACTTTAAACTGAAAGAACAGGTTATTAAACAAGTCTCCTCTTTTAACTACATCGGCAGCATGATCACCGAGGATGCCAGATGTAGATCAAGAGAAGGATAGCTCTCGCTAAATCTGCATTTTCAAAGTCAGGCAAAATTATGACAAATCGCACAATGGGTATGATTAGGACCAGAATAAGAGTACTGAATAGTTACATCTTCCCAGTACTTGTGTGGTAGTGAAAATGGACTTTAGCCTCTATTACTAAAAAGCGGTCGAAAATTTGCGAAACGTGGTTTTGAAGAAGAATGATGAAAATCCCTTGGACTGACAGTTTATGAAGAAGTTCCGAGAAGAGCTGAAGTGCAATGGAAAATGAATCGTGAGATGTTCAGTTGATCAGGCAGTTGAAGTTCATGGGCCATATTACACGTAAAGAAGGCCTTGACAATCTTGCTTTGACTGGGAAAATTGTGAGAAGGAGGAGTATGGGAAGAAGGAGGATACTTTAGATGGACAGTCTGCAGAAATAGTTAGAAGGAAGAGTAGGGGAAGAAGGAGGATACTGTGGATGGACAGTCTGCAGAAATAGTTAGGAGGAGTAGGGGAAGAAGGAGGATACTGTGGATGGACAGTCTGCAAAAATAGTTAGAAGGAGGAGTAGGGGAAGAAGGAGGATACTTTAGATGGACAGTCTGCAGAAATAGTTAGAAGGAGGAGTAGGGGAAGAAGGAGGATACTGTGGATGGACAGTCTGCAGGAATAGTTAGAAGGATGAGTAGGGGAAGAAGGAGGATACTGTGGATGGACAGTCTGCAGAAATAGTTAGAAAAGGGAGGTGTGAAAGAACTGGGAATGGTGCTAATAGAGAAGGCTAGGCCGGAGCCGACGGTTGTGAACAGGATGATCGCCAAAGTCAATCGATATGGCACTTTATATATAGAGACAGAGAGATTCTTGTATGTATTTGAATTTTTATACGGAAAATAAAACCAAACCGAACTAATGTTACTATAATTATCTAATAGAACATTATTGTTTTAAAAAGATCCCGGGGCAGTTGTTTTTATACTATTAAAGATAATATTTAGTGAGTAGTCTTTTTTGAGTAACATTGATAAAGTGTTATCATTGCACGTTCATTATAAAAATAACGTGTTAACTTTATTTGTTTGTTGTCATTTTATCTCGCTCTCTCTCTCTCTCTCTTTGATCCACTCCCTCCATTTATTTTTTGTTTAATAGTTCTCCCCGCCCCTCTCTCTCCTTTCTTCCTCTTTCCACCGCTCCCTCTCACTCCTCACATGCTCTCTCTCTCTCTCTCCCTCCCCCCGCCCCCTCTCTATCGCGTTTTATTCTGGCTACAAGATTCCAATGTACTAAACATTCCGGTTGTTAGTATCATTATCATTATTTAGAAGCTAAATCAGGAAGACGATTTTTGTTTATTTTGTTCTATCTAATTAAATTAATTCTTGAGTCCTCAACATTATAAGAAGTTTGGCCCAGTCTTGGTAAAGTTACAAGCACTGTACACAGAATAATGAATATGGGACTACACGATCATGTGTCATAAAAATCCGTCTCTATTTTTATGATGTTACATGCCATGATTAGAATATTAAGGCATTTGAAGAGCCATGCTTTTCAGAAAACATTTTGTATCTGATGTTTTTCCGCACTTGCATAATACATGTACACTATACAATAATGACGCTCACAAATTATTGTGCACCTCTTCCCAGATCTCAACCTCCTCTTTAAACCACTTGACTACGACACCTCTACGAATTTAATTTTTATTCTACGGTCACATTTAAAGTACATCGTATTGGTAGTCAAAAATATTGTTTTGTATGTGTATACTAGTTATATGTCGTAATATTATATTCAAAATATGAGCTTAATACACCATTTCGGTTCAGGGATTGCTGGCTAATAAACTTTCACTTACTAGTAACATAAACACAAATAAACTCAACTCACATAATTTAACAAGTCCCGAGCACGCGATCCCGATAAGTCTACAATCAAGTTGCGTTAATTTATCGTGTTGCGATTAATAGGATTTTTTAAAGCAAAGGGCGCCCCTTGGTGTCGGTCCCTGACATGTTCACTAAGATGGCTATTACGCTCTAAAAAACATCACAGCCAACCACATCCTTGGTATCACCGGATGCTGACGCCTCATCGCAGCATGCCATCACTTGAGCGAGTACCATGCACGCCGGACTCTACGCCGACACCTGACCAATCAACGCGCCACTGACAACTTTACCACAGGTTACCACGACACAGAGTGGCAGTTCACCTACTGCAGGCCCAGAGACGCCCTCTGACCAATCAACTCAAGCAACAACGGATCAGCAAGGGACATCAAATCAGCAGGTACCATTACAAACTCACACTCCCTTTATTTAAATTTTAGTTCAGTTTAATAAGATCACTGTAGAAATGACAAGTCTTTTGAGTGGTCCTCTTGGACCTCTCAATTGTGTTTTCACAAAACATATCGCCATAAGTGCTATGAACATACAAAAAATGCACCACATTACTGGTTTAATCACATAATCAAACCAAACTTGCCAACATAAGGCATTTAATTAATTTGCCACACAAACGTTAAGTTAAAAAACTAGTAGGTAAATAGCGTTCGCACTTACAGACAAATCAAACATCTCCAACGCTATAGTATTCATGACTAGTTATTTACCAAGTATAGTCGTCGCTTTTGAACTTCATTTTAAGATGTCACCTTGCTTTACACTTTTGAAACGGAGGAGTCTGTAAGACATGTACGCTACTAAGGGAAAGCGGTGGCATCTTCGTTAATGACTATGCCAGATTCTTTGATATTAATTAGTTTTAATGAAGTCAAACGGTGTGTTCCGGGTTATGTTACTCACAAAATATAAACTTTAGTTTTGTAAACATTATTTTATTATCATTTTAACTTTTGTTGATTTTCGTTCGTAGAGTTTTGTTTTTGCTAAATGCAACACGGAAAAAAGTTTTGTTTGAATTTTCCAGTAGTTATACCAAAAAGTTTGTCTAGAGATATGGATGAGGAGGGTGGTGTTGTCCGAAGGAAGGGGATGGGTAGCTGGGATGGGGGTGGGGGGGGGGGTAATTATACAAATTTATATTCTTGTGGTGGTTTTCGCCTGGATCGATTTGTCCGAATTCAACTGTCCGGGTAATTGTCCTAAAATCTGCAGAACCAAATAAGGATACAGCAATTTTTTTTTTTACTATAATAGTAAAAAAAAATTGTAATAATTACGAAAAAACGTTTTCAGAATGAGACTAGATTATAATCCTTAGAGTACACGAGATTTCCTCCACCTAACACATCACGACATCATTTCTTAAATACCCAGATCAATAGACAAAAACCCGTGTTCAAACCGAGGCATTTCAGAACTCTCATTTAGGACCTACGCAAGATTTAGATATGAAAAATGTTTGCAAAGAAAAAAAGTAAAAGCAATACGAGGAAAACTAACGAAAAACATTTAAAGAATAACAGCAATGAACAGTAAAAGGAGTACAGAGTAAACTTTAGTTATAAGAAAAGAAAAGAAAACAAAGCTAAAGAAAAGAAAAAGACTGGAGAAGAAGAAGATCGAAGAAGACGAAAAAGAAAAATGCTATGTTGAAGAAGAAAACATTTGCGCCGTTTTAAATAGTACTCCCCCAAGCAAACAAGATGGGGACCAGTCCCATTGCCCACTTTTATTCCCTTCTAATCTTCCTTCCTTTTTTCTTTCTTTGTTTCTTTGTTTCGTCTTTTAAAAATTAATTGTCGTTACTTTTTGAAAAAAAAGCTTTGGTCCAACATCTTGTGAAAAAGTTTTGATAAGTTTTGGAATCATTAACCAAGAACGGATTCACTTATAGTTAACGTTTGAAATAAGAAAACCAAACTCTTTTGTTGGCAATGCGAACACTCTCCTAATCTATTGATTTGGTTGAACGGGGGAAGGTCGTACATGTATTGATTTCTTTAAGTAAACTTTGAAATGAATGCGTCTCAGAAGAGAAGAATTGAGATGAGCTCTAGTATTTGTTCTTGTCACTCCGAAACATGTGTTCTTCTTTCAATTCAAACGCACCGAGCGTACCACACGCGTATACGTACGGAGAGTCCGAAAGTATGCGGAGGTAATCATGGTGATGATGCCCTATATACCGGACCTTTGGCCATTGGCTCAGTCTGCATCTCTCCGTGTCGGCGGGAGGAAAAGCACAACAAATTGCACCGTCTTCTGTTTAGGAAAGTGGTGACCCATTCATCAAATGGTGAAGCGGTGTTTTAACTCTGGAAGTTCTTGAGACATTCCCTTTTCGTCACTGAATATATTCAACTGATAATGACAGGTATTTAACTTTATTTTTGTATAATCAGTTTATTTGTCTCAGAGGTAACCATTCGCTAAGTGGTCAAAAATATAAAATAGCTGTGGAATAATTCCAGAAACGGTGGCAGCCATTTGGTCTTGCGTGTGCTCAAAGACCCCAGTTTATTATTTCGAGTAGATTACATTCTCATAGATTTTGGATTCGTTCGAGCATCTAAAATGAAAAAGTCGAAAAGAGGCCCCGTGCTGGTAAAGTATGGTCGTACGCAGGTGTAGAGATAACTGATAGACGGGTTTTTTGCTGGTGAAGTATGGTCGTACGCAGGTGTAGAGAACTGATAGACGGGTTTTTTTTGTCGGGTCACATGATATCGACAGTAAAGTAGGTACCATTAATAATACATGACGCTTTAAAGTCAGAGTACACTCTTTATTTCGGCAATTACCTATTTATTAATAGTAACACAGGTTGAACATTAAACTCGAGAACCATGTATGAAAGATGATTTTATCGGCACAAGTATTTTAATATTTTACCTCATAACCTTGGTCCGCATATTGTTTTGTTGCGGGGAGGGGGATTGAAGCAAAGCGCATGATGAAATAAGTAAGTTCTGAAACTATGTATAGGTGAATATGAATAATACCGATAAACACATTTGAGAGGAATAACAAAGAGAGAGAGAGAGAGAGAGAGAGAGGGGGGAGAGATCAGAAAGAATGACTTTGAAAGCTATATACCAGACATCATAGGACCCTGAACATGTGGATGACTCACGAATTGATTTTGTTTCCATAATTTTGATGACTAATACTATACAAGTTAGCATATCAACATTGTAATCAATGTTTTAAGTTAGCTCAGACTCTCTAGCGCAAACTGTGCGACTGTCTTGTCATATATGATTGATGAAATGTTTATCCAGTAAACATAACCTGGCTCCTCAACTGCCAAGTGCGCCCGATCGCTACCAGGTACTTCATATTATTAAAGTCCACAACGATCTAAAGTATTCGACAGTAGTCGCTGTTTTATGATAGGAGATACGGTTGACAACTAAATTGCTCATATCCTTACCATGTTTTGTAATTTTTGAAATATGTATAAAAAAATAAAAATATAAAAAAATGATTTCTACAGATTTATGCTTCTTGAGAATGTGACATATTAAATCTTACATCTAAATGTATCTAGCAAAGGCTACAATACAACGAGTCCACATTTTTCATTCATGAGTTACGATAAACAAACAAAAAAAAATACCATCAAATTTACAAGGGGTATGGATAATTAGGCTTTTAACTGTATATCCGCAAAGTCTTCTGACATGACTGATGTGCGAAGTTTACAGGTAGGGGTTTTGCACTCTGCTACGTTTTGCACGTAGGCCGATTACAAAATAGGAATATAGATCACAGTTGGTGATTTGGTTTTGTTTGAAATTGAATAAAGGAGCATTATGCTTTGATTTGGCCTGATACCATGAATATCATTACGAGGTCGATATGTAAGCTTTGTACCAATGAAATCGTTTAGAATATTTAATAAATCAATACTGGTTTTAATAAATAGAATGAAATAAAATAGCCCGCTTACAATCAATTTTTTTCTATCTCTAATAGTATTATTCTTCTTATACCAATCTACCTTTTTTCGTCGTGTTCTCTCATCTATTCATATCGCTTTCTCTTACTATCAAACTATGTTTTCTCCTTGTTTTATTCCCCATAACAAATTTGTTCTCATCTCTACTGAGGTATCAGCCTGCTTGCCCCCCCCCCCCTCCCTCCCCTCGTACACGGTGCAATTATTACTCTACGTCATAAACACCCACGCCCGCCCTCTCCTAGTCCCATTATTCTTCCACGATCATGACGTGTTCTTTTCTTCCCCTCTACCATTCAACCACAGATTGATGCGCCGCAACAAAGGCTTCATCGATTGGTACCCATTGAGGGATCGGCCCAGGTACATGTTAGCGAAGAATAGATGATATTGATCCGAGCAAGAGGGGTAGTTTAATCAGTACCTCATCAATTATTGGTCTTCTTTCACCCATGGAGCTCTCAGAGAGGATAATGGCTATAGAAACGTATCCACATGACTAGTCAGGGTAACCCTTCTGTGTTTATCGTCTCAGTGAGGTACGCGACTAAAAAGGCCACTTCGAATCTAGGTCATCAGACGGTAGAAAGAACCGGCACTTTGCAGACGACTTCGATGCAGGCGACTATTATATGAGACAGCTGCCTGGACATACATAACGTGACTGCTAAACCATTACATTTATTGTACGACATTAACGGTACCGCGTTATGCACTTAATAAGGAACTGTTAATTGCATCTATAGAAGTGGATGGACTCCTGTCATGCTATTTTACAGATTGGTAATTTGTTGTTTTCCTATTAAACCTGTTGTTAGAAAAAAGTTTGAGCTTAGAGGAAATAAACAAATGAGGAGTTCATCATTAAGAGCTAGGCATCTAGATATTCTCCTTACGGATCAGCTGGCTCCTTGATGACATTCACTCCTAAGTAAACAGTGTCCAGGGCAGGTATTTGATCGACTTTCTTCAATATCATTCTGAAGTCTTTGTTAATGTTGATGCGTGACTAAATTTCTCTCGAGGTTGTTAGTTATGCTTGACTTAAGCTAGACATAATTCCAAACTGTAATCGCATTCTATGTTTCTGTCTCGGGATCGCAACGTACATTTTGATACCGTTTAGGACTTGAGGCGTGTAATCGTCTTGTGCATCGATCTTTCACCAACTCTCGTATTCTCACGCTTGCAAATACTGCTTCCATATATTCTTGAAAGTCCTGATTTTTATTGGTAACGAGACCCACCATTGAATCAAATCTTGGTGGGATTTTCCTTTTCACCGTCAAGACGCGCTGACTAATTCAGGATGTCTGCCCAACGTATCGCTAGGAGGCGCATCTCGGCCGATAAGCAGGCCGCAGCCGCCAATACCGACTTCGCAAACCTCAACAACAACCTCGACGTCAACGATTACGACACCAAGATGAAGTCGAGGGATGTCAAGAACTGCTTGGACAAAATGGATGGTAATCTATCGCCTGCCTCGATCAGAAGGCGGACCACGCGATCAAAAAGCGTCCAAAACTCAGATCTCATGTCACATGACATCTCGATGAATTTGATGAGAAAACAGGTACGATCAGCGTCGGATGCGCAGCTATCGCTCGATAAATTGCAAACGAGGATGGAGATGTCGTCTGCGAAGTCAGATGAAACTTTCGACGAATCGAAAGAGATAGACGATCACGTGACATCGGATAGGAGCCAATTAGAAGAGTTGATATCACCGAGATCGTGGTCAGATATGATCGCAAGTGATATCGCCATATCTTACGATCAGATAGATGATCATTGTCAACATAACTCTAATAACAATAATCATAAGAGCGATACTATAGCAAACACAATTAAAGTTCCAGACCAGCTAAAGCATGGCAATGGTGTCCTGAAAAAGGCGTTTGTAGAAGATGTTACATTTCATGACGTCAGTTCAAGACAACGGATCAGATCGTTTGAACCCAAAGATGACGTAATAACACCGCGCACGTGGGATGAGATGGTAGCAGAGGATAGCGAATCACGTGACCATACTCAAGATAGACATGATAATGGTGAATCAACCTCGGAGCAAGGTCTACATCCGGTAGGTGAAAGCGACTTTCGAGAGTCAGTTATTTTATGTTGTTTTTGGTTGCGAGGGAAGGGGGGGGGGGGTGATGCGGCGTATGGGGGAGAGATTGCTCAGATAAGAGGATTTATTTGTGTCCATTAATTTTTTGTTTTACATTCTCCTTTTTTTCTTACTATACATCTCTCTCATGAATTAAATATTCATTATAACTATTACCACGATTATACACTTTCTATCTTTCCCTATTTCCACGTTCTCCCCCTTGTCCTTCCCACCCCTAGTCTCCCATCTTCCTTCCTCCCTACCCTCTGTCATAATTATCGAAGTAGATCATACCTTGTATACCTCTCTCCTCCCCAGATCACCTTTCTCTTTTTTTCCTTGTATCTATATATCTTTCTTTTTGTTTACCTCTTCTTTCTCTTCCTCTCCATTGTAATGTGACGACGCCGATTGAGAAAGTCAACCAATACGTTATTTGGGATATGTACTAGAAATTGCGCATTAGATGCATTACAAAAATATTTTATATATATATACGAGCTACGATGCTGCCTCTGAATGTACAGTAACAAATTCCACATGACACGGTCTTTCCTTCACTTTTAATTTACAATATCTTGTTCTTTTTCATCGCAGCAAGAGGGAAAGGGGATTGAAACCGAGTAAGGTATTGGCAAACAAAATCCCTCATTCGCTGCAGTAGTCTATAATGTTGTTGTTGTTAAAATGGAGGAAATTCGTCTGAAGCAAATTACAATGAAAAGTGGTCGTTAAGGCTAGCCTGAAAATGGCCCTTCTTTTAAATTCAGCAGTACAGACACTAATACTCTTTCATGCATAGCCCCTCTTAATTCAACCCTTTGTTATTACACTTCTACGGGTGCCCAATTGCCGACAAAGTCCCTTGACAACAAAACTGCCCAATTTAATGTCGATAAATTGTATTCTTTCCACTGGTTTAATGACCCGCGGTATTACACAATATTGCGTCGTCATGTTTATGAAAAAAGTTAAAGTTAAAGCAGGTACCATAAAAGTTTCTTATTGACGTCAACATCTCCCCCTCTCTCTCTCTCTCTCTCTCTCTCCCTCTTTCTCTCTCCATAGCCTACTTTATCATGCAACATACCCGTACTTTAACTGATGTGAAATTGATGAATAACAAGATAATGTTATGAGCAAATTACATCTTTTTCTGTAGGGGCGGGAAATTAACCAAATATGTTTTTCGGAAAAATACCTTTGGGAGATTCCGATAATTTTTTCGTTAGTAAAATACAAGTTTGACATACTTATAGTTTAAAAATAGTATTCATAACATGATATTTATAACATTATAACATGGACACCTCTCTGATATAACTACGGAGTCTTCACCGTTAGGGATCCAAGTTATCTTTACAGTTATAATTGAAAAAAAGGTGGTACCGGGCATATCAGTCGGTATTAATTCCCGATTCTAATATCATTCGTCTTATAAGAATTAGGAGTGGAATATGGGATGCGACAATACAGTGCAGGGTCCATATTGACAAAGCAATTGGCTTAGCTGTAAACTATTTGCGTACCGTAGCTCATATAGATAGTTGGCATTTAATTAGTCTGTGCATGAGTCGTGAGCGTTTAGAAAGTTTCAATGATTTTTCTTCTTCATTTTTTTCAAACTGCTCTTTGTAAAGATTGCGTCATCTGAAGGAGAGAATGACCAACCGGATCCCCGGGCAGCCTCGGTAGAGTTTGCATGGCCTAAGGAGTTGCCTAGCAACAGATCGGTATCACGTGACAGGGAGACACAACATGATGTACGATGTGAAAATCAGTGCAAAGCATTTAGAGAGACTGACCCTGAGTTAAGGTTGGCTCGGTTGGAGTGGAATTTACGCATGTTGAATAGAGACCTGGTAAGTTCGTTTGATAATAATAATGATAATAACAATAATGATAACAACAATTATATTTAATATTTAAAGGAAACCGAACCCCATATAGTAACTTTACTTATTCTGGGAGATTTATTATATTGTTGCCCATACATATACAAAATTCCCCACCAAAGTGTATGAGAGAGGTAATAAAGCAAAAATAAATTTTCTCAGCACGACATGGGCATCGCCATTGTCTTGATAATGTGACGTACTATGCGAAGTCGTTTATCAAGTAAATGTATTCAAATTTATGGATGCTTCTTTCCCAGACGTGTGTGGTGATGAAGCATTTCATTCACCTGCTATTATCCTTTGTACTATAATTGCCAGAACGCAAATTGCATAAATAAGTTAGTGCTATTCTGGGGCGAAGGTTTCTCATAAATGAAATAGATTTGTCAACCTCTATAGTGTAGTATTGATTTATAAATGAATTTTGTTACAATCGTGCCCCTATTATTTATTTTTTACCTTATATAATTTCTATCATCTCAGTTATTTTTTTTTAATTGAAAAGTAAAGGTTTCGTTATTGATTTGAAATTTTTTTTCCACCAAAGCTTGATACATGTACAACTTCAACAGGTACGTCACATTTCCAAGAAAATGGCTGCGCCCATATCATGCTGAAAGGCATCACATCATGCCAGAAATATCTTCATTTATATATATATATCTTGTACATTTTCGTAAGGAATATTGTACATCAAAGGGCAGGAATACATCTCATTTTTCAGAATACCTACAATTATTCTTTGGGTTTAGGTTTTCTTTAATAGCGCATAATATATCCATCACACAAGGTACTCAATGCGCTCCAATATTACCCCGGCTCTGCGCGTCTACCGATATCGATGTTCACACCATTCCAGCAACTCCTTCATATCGATACCCATTTAACACCTGGGTGGAGAGTGCCAGAGTGGCACATGTATATTAATGTCTTGCCAAAGGACAATAGTGACGCGGCGAGACTCGAACAGCGAACCCCATGATCCACAGTCCAACAATTTATCCACTAGTCCACGACACCTCTATACATTTATATGTAATATTATACGGCCAATTTGTTCGAAGTTTCATGTGACTTCAAATTCTGAACCAATTCTCGTGCTCTCAAGACAATAGCGTTGGAGAGATATTTACAGAGAAGCAAGATGCAGTATGGAGAAAATGCAAATAATGAGAAGTACATGTAGCTATAGGGTCTCATCACGTCACGACAATCAGACCATAGAGGGCGTCATCCTGACAGTCCGAATTTTAGTCTGATTGAAATATCGTTTGAATAATCGATTTCATGTTTTAAAAAGGTCCCAAATGAATTTCATGCGTAAGAACACTATTGAGCAGATCAATGAATGTGCACCTTATAGATGACATTGTACAACCGTCTGTGCTAATCAAACATTTAGTATATGACCTTTACATCCTTTACCATTTTGACTTCTTATTTTCTATTCGTGTTTATCTCTCTCTGATGTTATCTTCTTTGTGTGCTCTTATTCCTTTACGCTATGACATTATCTTACTTATTTTTATCTTCTGTATTAGACGGCGATGAGAAAAACGGACCAACAAATATTTCGACAACTCCTCAGTAACTACGAGACGATTGGTCAGGTCGCTGATCACGTGACGGTCATTACGGAAACGCCTTCCCCGTTACCTCCTTCCTCTTCTCCATATCCAGTCACACCGAGGTCTAACCCGAGTAGCCCCGAGAAAACCCGACCATACTCGACCACTCCGGGAGATACCGAACTACTCCGAATCATCAGGGAAGCGCTCGATCATCCAGGAGCACTGAACATTGGGAACATCGTAGATCAGTTATCTCCGATTCGACGCCGAAGAAGCAGCGAACCCACCACGATAGAATACGAAGACCTCCCGCCATGCTTCGACGAAGAAGATGATCAAGAACTAGAAGGTATTTACTGGTCTCGCTTCTCTCTTTTTTTTTCTTCTCTGTCCCTTTCTCCTCCTTCATCTCTATTCATATCATTCTTTTATCACACCCCGTGTATTAGTCCACAATCTGCCAGGTCCTTTATAATTCCCTACACACTTGATTCAAGCCGTCGAAGATGGCGTTATCAGCAAACTCATAATTATGTTCACCAGCCCAGCCTGATGATCACGCCATCCACGGCTGATAGCAAGTAAGTAGGGGGAGGTAGCGTTGGTGTGGTGGAGATTAAAATTAAATAGGCCAGATTCTGGACTACCCGTGTATTAGAAATGTAGATCAGTGAGGGTTAAAGTTTGCGTACTAGCGACCAATATCTTTTAAAATAGGTTATTTTCATATTCTTGTTCGGCAGTTTTCAAATCCATATTCATTTTCGGATTACATAACCCGCCATTGTCATGTTTGCACATTTCAATGGGTGACGCACAAGGTTAAAGATAAACTTGAGTTCTGGTAATGCGATTGCATTGTGAAAGAAAAGGTGTGGAATGAATCAGAAAAAGTTGATCATCTAGCATGTAAGTAATGGTGTGTAAAGCAAGTTCTGGAGTCATCAAAATCATCATTAATTTGGCAGAGTCTTGGTAAAGTAACAATCACTTACACAGAAAGATGTATATGGGACAACACACATGGTGGTGGGGCTAGTACTACCCTGATTTCTTTATCTTTCTATGCTCATTACTCAGCCAGTATACATTTTCTTCCAAAATTGTTTGGCACATGACATTTATTTGTAATCTTGAACATTCAATGTAAGTTTCGTTAGATTCCGTGAGAATTCATTTTCCTTTTTTACCAGAACTCAAGTTTATCTTGAATGGAATTGCTTTAGGTTAATTTTTGGAAAGCATTTGCTATCATGTTAAACAAAACGTTTGAAGGACTTGCATAAATTGGTTTAGAATTGATGTAAGCATTCTTTATTTCCACTAACATGATCTTATGCTACGGTCACAAAGGTTCGTACGAACGATAATTTCGTACGAATCTCCCTGTTTTTCCATTGTCTTCCCGAATTTCCATTGTCGAAAAATCGTTCGTACGGCGTTTGTAGTAGTTCGTAATGGCTTTTGTGACCGAGGCTTTAACTGAAGGAAATAGCTGTATATCAACCATCTTCCTTCCCAGGTGAAAAAAGGAGGTGGGGAGTCCTTTCCAGGTCTTCCCTATCCACCCCCTTTCTCACAAGGTGCAACCGCAAGCCTATTGTATAACCATCTTCATACTCATTATTGACCGTGATGCTGATTTCCACTCACCTCACCCCAAGATAATCAATGTAACACAATTTGACAATATCGGTAATTTCATCTTACTTTGCAAAGTTTGTATAGTACTTTCGATGTATGTTGTAGCATGACTTTCTCTGTCTTATTTTTATTCCAGATCTCTTGAGTTTATCTTGTCCAGTTTTTAAGGAACCCAAAGCTCCTATTAAACGTCGAAACACGCAAGGAACCGACCTATGACGTCAGGAGGATGCCTTGGTAGAAAGAGACTAATAATAATTGTTGCATCTCGAAGCTGATGGATTTAGAGGAAAGTGTTCATCCTATTTCTCGTAAACGGTGATGACTGTAGGAAACAATACATTTCGGAATACGTGTCCTCACATTTAATCTCAAGACAGCACATTGTGCAATTATGACTCCTGGGGCCCGTTTCACAAAGCCTTTTTAAACGACAAATGACAAAAATCAGTGACAAATCTGCTGATAACCAATCAGAAGCAAGGATTTCAGTAGCTCATAACAAAACTGTCATTTGTCACTGATGACAAGTTTTGTGAAACGCCCCCCTGGACAATAATCCCCTTCCGACCAAGTAGACCCTGGCAACCATCCGTAGAACCTCAGGACAAAACCCCCAGACCATGCTGTCATTAAAATATCACGCTTTCGCTCGCTCTCTATCTCCCTCTCTCTCTCTCAAAGCTAATATTATGGAGTTTTCGATTTGCACGTCAAAGTGGACTGCTACGTGGACTGCTACGTGTGACGTCCTTAAAATGACGTCACACGTAACAGCCCACTATGTCGACGTGCAAATAAAAAAGTCCCTAATATAGTACAACTCCGACCCTACTGTGTCTTGTATTGTATTGTATTTATTATTAAACTTCATTGTACAAAGAAAATGCAAAACATTTTCAATAATTCATTGAACCCCCCCCCCCGGTCCCCAACATAAACAAATATTCTGTGTGCCCATGCCTTGAGCCATAATACAGGGTCGTACATACACTGTAAAAAAAATCTCTGTTATTTTACAGCAAATCTGCTGGCAGCAGAGTCGCCATAAATTATGTTGTAAAAATACAGATTGGTTGTTATTTTCTCCTACAAACATTTCATGTATTTTCTTTTACAAATTGTATGTTGATTAAAATTACACCAGAATGAATGTAAAAACATAGTACACAAATTTTGTATATATACATATGTTTGTTAATTTGGTTTACAGCTTTGGTGTGGAAGTACTTTTTGTGTATTTGTATTTGAAGCAATTTTGTTTTATTTGTTTACACCACCATGTAATTTTACAGAATGAATGTAAAAATATAGAACAAAAACGTTGTATAAATACAAATGTTTGTTAATTCGGTTTACAGCTTTCCCTTCTTCCTTTTGAGTACAGACCTCTTTACAGAGTATTATCGTACTATACTGGGGGTGTGCAGGTGGACCACTACACCGGGGTTTCCCCCTACTCTTATACGAATAGCGCAGTGGGTTCTTAAAGTGCAAAGGTAGTGACTCTTCTCTACACGGGGCCTCCATTTAACGTCCTATCCGAGGGACGGAGTGTTTTCCACTTGACATAACCTGCGTCTATGAACAAGGGAAGGGGCACGTTAACACACAACGCAGGTTTCAGTCATCCGCTTGGGTGGGAGTCGAACCCGGGATCTTTGGTTCGACAGACGGACGCTTTACCGACTGAGCCAACTTGCCTCCCTTTGGTGTGGAAGTACCTTTTTGTGTATTTGTATTTGACCCAATTTTGTTTTATTTTTTTACACCACCATGTAATTTTACAGCATGAATGTAGAAATATAGTACACATTCAAAGTCTCTGGGACTTCATTCATATGCAAATGAGCATCCTCCGCATCATGTATAAGAAGCCCACTCAAAGCCACGTGCATTAGTATTCAAAGACAAAAGGCTCATTCAATCATGCAAAGAAGGGCGGGAAAAAGACAACAAAATCAATTGTATTAATAGTCACACTGACAGAACATTCAATCAGGGAGGGACATGATTCCTCATATTAGGCTTATACTTCGTAGAATATAAATTAAACTTCAATATTAAATTTCTTTTAAATCTCGTTTAATTTAATTATTCTACTTCGTAACGCCTAATTATTCGAAATCATGTCTGGGATTTTAAAGTTGGAAAACGGAATCGGTAAATATGCTACAGTATATGTGAAATAAGTTTCATGAAATGTGAAATGCTGTCCAATCAAAACGACATTATAAAAACAGAACACCTTCAACTGGGATCCATAAGTGCGGGGGCACACCTTCTCAACATGCATGTTCTTGGACAAGCAAGACAAGCAAATTTGAAATAGTTCCAGCAGATTCGTCTCGAAAACGATGAACTTTTCCTCAGTTAGAGGGCTCTTAGGTTGAGACCTAATAATGATGATTATGATAATAATAATGATGATTATGATAATAATAATGATGGTTATGATAATAATAATAATGATGGTTATGATAATAATAATTATACTACTATTATGATTATTTCAAAAATATTTTTTTACTACTACTACTACTACTACTACTACTACTACTACTACCACTATTTCTACTACCACAAGTAGTATTATACAACTACTACAAGTGACTACTAACCTCAGGCGCGAATCCAGGGGGCCAGGCTGGCCTTGTTCCCCCCCCCCCCCCATCAATTATCCTAAATCTTTTAAAGAAAATGTTTATGCCAGTTCCCTACCCTTTTTGTGTCTCTCATAGCCCCTCCACTCTGCACATAAACTCCGAGTGACGCAAATTGAATTTTACAAGTACTGCTTTTTTCACAAAAAACACCAATATACATCATCAGTGAAAATACAAGAGTCCAGTACATTGTCTTTATTAAGAGTTGCGATTAATCCAGTTAAATCGAAAATCCTCCAATCAATCTCAGACCTACATATTCCCATCAATTTTGTACACAGTGGCATCTGTATGGGTGCAGGAGGCACTTGCATTTGAAGATTTCACAAAAGTGAGAGGGCACAAAAAACGTAAAAGAGAGAAAAGGAAAGGTTAGACGCATACATCAAAGCTCATCAAAGCTCCTTATTTCTTCTCGATAATTTTTATGTAGACTTTTACGACGTTTTCAAATAAACAGATAAACATGGAACAGCTTTCATAATGATAGATCTTAGATACATGTACTTTTCAAGCCGCATTAAAACTCCTCAAAGCTCTTCATTTCTTCATGATTTATGTAGACTTTTTAGGATGGATACTTTCTTGTCAAGTTTTTAACGGGGTATATATTTGATGAATTCTGTAGACAACTAGAGTTCAAGCTATATTTCAACCTGTGATTGTGTTGTTACAACATTACTGTATGCATACATTTAAACAAATTTTGAAAGTCTAAACTGACTCAGTGAATCCATCATTTTCGAATGAAATTGAAAAAAAGGGTTATGGAAAATTTAAGGGACCATGTGGTATTCAATGTCACAAAATGAATTTTCAGATTGGATTCCGAAGGACATATGAAAGTCTATTCTGACTCGGTGAATCAATCATTTTGAAATGAAATTGAGGAAAAAAAAGGGTTATGGAAAATTTAAGGGACCATATGGTATTCAATGTCACAAAATTAATATTCAGATTGGATTCCGAAGGACATATGAAAGTCATTATCAAGCACTATCAATTGCCTTTCTCCGGGACCGAGAGTAGGTAACCAGCCCTATAATAAATGTTAGCATCCCAAGAGCTGTTTCATATTATTTGAGCAGTGTCTACCTATACCTACACACCACATCATCATGATCTGTGAATTGAGTCTCGTGCTTGTTTTGGCAGTCTTACAGGGTGGTAATGGACTCACCGACGATGAGAAGAAAGAAATCCTGGCTCAACATAATCAGTACCGTAGTGATGTACAACCAACTGCTGCAAACATGTTACCTCTGGTAAGTTTTTATATATACGATACTTGCTGATCTTGCGACACCTGCACTTGCTCTTGCCAAACTGGCTCCATGTCAATTTCCTACACTGACCGAATTCGTAACACTAGACCAACATTATACCAAATAACTAAAACGAAGTGTTTCTCGTCTCTGCCTGCCTCCTTTTCGGCCGCTGCGTCTTTTTGTCTTTTTGTCTTTCACTATTTACTATTTAAAGCCACACACAAAAAACCCACCCCCAAAAGCCATAAAAAATATGTTTTTAAACAGCCTGTGATATACATCTCGTTTAAAAAGCTTCTAAAGTCATACACACTGGATACACATCATTTGTTTTGTCATACATTGCATCAACATACTCACATAGCACAATAATTGTGAATAAAAAGGCTTGGCCAGCTATAATTAGCATGGCAGCCGTCTTGGAACAAATTGCAAAATAGTAAATAGTAATGCCCTGCCTCCTCCTTATGTTTAAATGTCCGGACGAGAAACCCATTATTTTCCTTACTTGGCCTTATACCTAACCCTAACTATTTTCAAGATTTGCGGAGAGAGGCATAAACAAATTTGTTAAAATTGATAATAATGATAATAATAATAAGTACATGTACTATTATTATCATTTTTATTGATGTAATCATTATTACATGTATTATCATTGTTAATATTATCATACAGAGAGGCCTTATCAGCAAGAATGCTGTTATTCCCTATACAGTGCGTCCCAGAAAAAACGAAACTGAGAATTATCGATGTTTTATCATAACTTAGTCATATTTATAATTAATAAATGACACATATTTGGAAAGCATAGATCTTCCTCTTTCATTTGATGCAACTCATATGATTTCAAATGAAAATCACATTTAATCACATTTAATCACCTTAATCAGGAAAAATGAGCTAGGAATAACAAAGTTCTGTTTGTTTAAAGTAGTGCTTGCATTTCCATAATTTTATCAAACGAATTCGTTTTCCCTAGCTGCCTGCCGTAGCAACAGGTAGCAGTGACAAAAGACTTAACTCCGTTTCGTTGACAATCATCTTTGCATGAATTCTGTCGTCTACGGCCGATTGTCAACGAAACGGAGTTAAGTCTTTTGTTAATTCCGTTTGTTGCTACGGCAGGCAGCCAGTGAAAACGAATTCGTTTGATAAAATTATGGAAATGCAAGCGCTACTTTAAACGAACAGAACTTTGTTATTCCTAGCTCTTTCCTGACTGAGGTGTCATATGAAAGGGCAGAAACTCAACTTGTTAGAAATGTGATTTTCTCTTTGAAATTCAGATAACGTCAGCCAAATGACTTTTTATTGTTCATTTCAGTCACTCATGCGTGAACTATGCATCAAATGAGTTCAATCAAATGGAAGAGGAGGATCTAAGCTTTACAAATATGTGTCGTTTATCAATTATAATTGTGATTTTGGACATTACTTTTCATCTATGTATTATAATTGAATATGCTACTCTTATTGATTTATCAAGTATTTGCTATTTATATTAACTTTGCTCGCCATGAATTCTCTACATGTATTTAGCTCCAGGTCTTTATATTTCGTTCTTAATTTGTAACTATTTGAATATACTTGTACTTGATTGTTTTTTACTTTGTAAAGCGCATAGAGAAACTTCGATTTATTATGCGCTCAATAAATCTATCTTTATTATTATTATTATTATTATTAAGTTATGATAAAACATCGATAATTCTCGATTTAGCTTTTTTCTGGGACGCATTGTATAGGACCCTATGTAGTTATTATAACCCCAGCAATTGCCAAGTACCCGTTACATTATAATACATACGGTTGTGGATAGCCCTGCTCAGCAATGACAACATGCTATCGGTGGTTTTCAGAGGGTTCCCAAGAGAGTACTATTTAGGAGTACTATTTGGGAGTTGGAAAAAAAATGTGATTTTTTTTTTTTTTTTTAATTGAATTTTCTTTTCTACTTTAAATCTTAATTTAATGAAAACAAAATATTTTAAATCTTTTTAGATAAAAATAAAAAAAAAATTTGTTCTAAATTCTTCCAAATTGTTTTGATTTTAGTTTTTAGTTTTTTGTTTTAAACAGATTTTTGATGCAGGATATAAAACAAATATACCATGCTTTCTATTCGAGGTACTGGTTAAAACTATGGGCTTCGGTGACTCCAAAAGTACCATTTGCTTCGGGGCTGCGCCCTTCAGCAAATAGTACTATTGGAGTCACTCCTTGCGCATAGTTTTGACCAGAACCTCTCAAGACAGTGTATATTTGTATAATATATGAACAGTAAAATATAATTTAACAAAGTTTAAACAATATCAAGAAAAACAAAATGAGACAGGCAATACAAATAATCGGGGAGGGGGTGGATGTCGTTTTACGAAATGACCATATGATATTAATAAGGATAGTGCTTGTTAATCTCCGACTCTATAGGGCAGACATTTTCGATTTAAATATATTTATACTGGTAGAAGATTTAACATCAATAAGAAGAGCATTAAACGCCTTTGCATACAATTTATATTTGAATGAACTTTTCAAAAAATTTGTTGGTGGCTTTGGTAATCGTATATTTATTTCCAAAGCGGGAAGGGTAGGGGTGAGTTACAGGCTCAAATTTGTTTTTCTAATTAGGCAGGCATTATAGTTATTCAATATTTTATATGTTATTACAACAGAGCGATCATGTTTTATTTTTACTATGAATTGCCAGTCTATTAAGGCATTTGTAACTCAAGAACCAAAACGTGGGATTCAGGTTTTATTCTTAATATTCTGTGATGTTTGTTGTTTATCCGTACATTTCTTGAAAACAGAGTTATAAAATAATATCACCATAATCACCATAATTTTGTAAATTAATTTAAAAACAAACTCACTTAACGAACGTCTTAAATCTTCCGAGAAAGCTTACCAGTTTTCCAATCTTTTTCAAAATAGTTTCAATATGCAGCTTTTTATTTCAATTTTCATCAAATATCAGACCAAGGTACCGGTACTTAGAATGCCGAACTTGATTTAAAGGAGTGTTATGTAGTTTGCTTTGACATCATTATGGTTGCTTCCTAAAAGGATACAATACAGTTTTCTGACAATTGACTGAAGTATTGGTGTGTACTGCAAAGTTCTGAAATCATCAAAATGATAAGAAATTTGGCCCAGTCTTGATAAAGATACAGACACTTGCTCATAGTATACATTAAAAACCTATTACAGGCAATTTAATAATTAGCATTGAATAAAAATATTGGGTAGTTATGATCATAATTACGATAGTGGGTTCCCGTATATTGCTTACATCTAGCACTGCCACTTCTGGTGCTCGAATGACGCATTCAGCGTGTTTAGCGTCCATTCGCGGATACGACGAATCATTTTCATCATTGCTTAATGATTTTAAAGTTCTTTTATCGCAACCCAAAGGAAAATTTACCCGGAACAGTTTCGATGTCTAGAGTTTATTATCATTTTGAAGTGCAATTTGTTGAACAACTTTACTCTTTTTCACATCATATCCCATTTTCGTTCCTTAATTTGTCAGATTGTGTGAATTTATTCTTTTATATAATTTTGAGCAATGCAACTATGTAATCTTTGTATGTATCAGTTGTTGGACTTTAACCAAAAAAAACTAATTTACTTTCAATGAATTGACATAAATGAAATACAAAAGTATCCTATGATAGCCTCGTTCTCTTATTACAGCAATGGAACAATGAGATTGCAAATTTGTCGCAATGGTGGGTTAACCAATGCGACTTGAGCCTCAACAGCCCTTCTTCAACAAAATGGACTACATGTACGTTAGGCAGGAGCGTCGCCTATGGGCCCGTCGACACAAATTTGTCTTTGTTTGTGGAGTGGTGGCATAATGTGACGCATCAATATAACTTCGAAGACAACACCTGTGCCGGTAATTGTTATCGTTACACTCAGGTAAGTTTCAAAGCTCAAAACCTGTTCTAGCCATTGGCAATACATACAATTAACTAATAAATTATTCATACCCTTACCAAGTTTAGTCATTTTCAAGTTTGTGATTTTTTTTTCTTCCTTATTTATGTTTCCTGAAAATGTGACAAATTGCAGCTTCTATCTAAAAGTATTCAACAAAGGCCCGAATTTAACCAGTCCGCCTTTCAATCTTAAGTTTCAGTTACGAAAAACACACAAAAACATTAAATCAAAAGTTAGTAATATTCAGTGGCAGATCCAGGGGGCACGTGCCCCCCCCCCCCGGCCCCTAAAAACAAAGTGCTCTTACCCCCCCCCCCCCCCCCCCCCCCGCTTATTCAGCGGCCGGCTGAGTCGTTGCGAAAATTTTCGGCGAACGCTACTGATTTCTCCCAATGCCATTTTGTGTCCCCCCCCCTACGGTTAGAAATTCCTGGATCCGCTACTGAATATTATTATTTTAATTAGCATTATTATTATCATTATCGTTATGTTTCATTTTGGTACAAATAGATGGTGTCGGCTACAACTTCTTTCGTTGGATGTGGCAAGGCTGGTTGTTTTAATGGCACAATATTCTACTGTATATACGGACCCAGGTAATTTATTGTCATCATAGCATGATCATTGTTCCCATTTTTCTCGGGGATATTGACACACACACACACACACACACACACACATACACACACACTTTTAAACAAGGTTCTTGTTTATAAATGTATATATATATATATATATATATATATATATATATATTATATTTGGATACATGTACGCAATATATGATGAAGATCGGTTTTATTAAGTCACGTAACCTTATAAAAACGTTTAGATTTAAAGCGGATGAACTCCTCCATCTTCATCATAGCGTACTTGTATTCATATATATATATATATGTATATGTATATGTGTGCGTGTGTGTGTGTGTGCGCGCATGTGTGTGTGCGTGCGTATGTGTTTGTGTTTATAAAATCCAACATTTTTTAATAGGTTGTTATTAGATTTAAAGTAACAAACTGTTCTTTTTATTTTTTTTTGCGTCATCCTATATAAAGCTACTTTAATGATATTCGTGTGAATGTACTTTACCACTTTCATGACAACTCAGAGTAAAATAAATGACTTTAGTTTATAAAATCATGAGAAAACAAAGTTGGTCGAGTTGTTCGGATCGAATGAAATCCTACCCTGGACAGCTAGACCCAGTCGAATTGTCCAGGGCCTGTGGTCAGGTTATCCAGGGTCGAGTCTGTCTGGTGGGCGGGCTGTCCACTCATATATGTTTATACAAAGTTGTATATACAATTGAATTATTATGGAAATTCGCCCGTCATGGTTATAGAAATATATGTTTTTTAATTGAATAAAGACCCTCGTGAGTTTCAATTCACTATTTAATTACCGGTTTCAATTTATTTCGTCAGATAGTGAATTTAACATAATAAACAAGTGCAACAAACTGTATACAAAAAATGAGTACATGACTATGTACATTGCGTTGAAATGGTACATTATGTATTGTTACATCATAGTCATAATCATTTCATATCTATATTTCTCTACTTGTAAGAATATATATCGGAGAAACAGGAAATATTTTAAGAAATAGAATGATAATTTATCGTCAACACATCAAAAAGAAAAACCCAAAACTTAATGTAAAGTAAACATAAATCGTAGTGTGCAAAATAAAAAAAGATTAAAAAAAAATTGATGCTATATATATATATATATACAATTCTATAAATTAAGAATAGAAAACGAAACTTAAAGATAAGATCCCCCTCCTCTTCCCTCAAGAAAAAAGTACAATGCATTGTATTAATAAATTTCAACCACAGCTGAAGAAGTTTCAATCTAAAATAGTGAAGAATGATGGGATTATTAAATTAAACTTGTTACTAATGAGTTGAAGTCTTGATATTGAATGGTTCTTTTACTATCTTCCAGAGGTAATGTGACCCATCGCCCATACGAATCAGGTGTGCCCTGTTCTAGTTGCCCTGAAAGTGAAGGAGTTACGTATAGCTGCGAGAATAATCTTTGCACCTGTAAGTATTCAATTAAATTCAGTTCAATTCAATTCAATCAAGATTAATTTAAAGGGGAAGTCAACCCTGGGATTAAGTTGGTATTGATAAAAGCAAAAAAATAAGAGAAATAGATTAGTGATGAATTTAGTTATGAATTGTTTAAGGTGTCATCAGTGGGAAACGAATTGGCAACACTGTGACGTATCATACGAGCTCCTCTCCAATTCTCTCTGTACAGAAAATTTCATAAACTTTCATTTTCTTAGTAATTGGTGACAGAATATAAATTGTCATACGGGGGTTGTATAAAGACATATTTGCAATAATTATATTGAGGGTGAATTTATGATTGAAAATTTTCTAGTACAACCTTGGACATATTACAAATAGGGAAAACTGGAGGAGAACTCATAAGCTACGTCACAGAGTTGTCAATTTGTATTCGATTGATCGCACCTGCAACAATTAATAACTGTCCTATTTCTAATCGGTTTTTGGTCAAACTTTAACTGACCTGTTTCTTTCATTTTTTTGCTTCTATTAAAACCAATACAATCTCAGGGTGGACTACCCCTTTAAACATGACTGGTAGACACAAACTGAATTGTACATGTTTATACAGTGCAAGTAAAATACAATATTTATACTAGTTGCAGCAATAAGAAAACATGTACAATAGAAAGGAATAGGTAAATGACTGTTAAATGCATTTATTTAGCATTGCATCCAATTACCTCACTGCTCTCAGTGTTAACATATTGCACGATAATAAACAGTAAAAAGTCAAAGAAAAGGAAGGGTGTGTTTTTTGAAAGATAAGTCCTGCAAGCAACAGCACAGGAGATATTAGATACTGAATAGACGAACAAAGAGAGTGGTGGAATCATTTCAAACAGGAGAAAGAAATAAAAGTATCTATTTACACCTGGGCTCCGTTTCATAAAACTTACCACCGATGTTAACTTGCCTTTCAATAATATTGTTGTAATACGTGGTGGATGAATTCGATGCGCTATATTTATAATAATAATAATAGTGAACATTTATAATACGCCATGTCTGTAAAAATTGACACTCCTTGCGCAGTTGTGAAAAAATTGTATAACTGTGGGAATACGACTATTAAATGCTAAGTCCATTCCAAAAATAATTTGCTTTAAAATAGATGCAGAAAAACAAGTAAAACAGAGCCAAAACAATTTGACTAAAATCGGATGACTAATAAGGAAGTCATTATATTTTTTTAAGTATGGAAAACTAGGGAAATTAGAAAATCACTACACCAATTGCCAATTTGGTTACCAGTTTGTGACGTCATTGCCTCACTATTTATCAATTGCTTCATGTATTTTTATCCCACTGATTTCCCTTTTTATCCAAAAAAAAGTGATTTCCCCATGCCTTTTGCCCAGGTTATATAATTTGTATCATATTGCGTGCATGACATTTCACAAAAAATATTTTATATACTTTGAAGAATTTATATTATATGTTAAATATTTTAAATTCATAATCATTGATTTTTATATAAATGTTTTATCGAAATTCACATTTTTCATGATTTAAATGAAAACAAATTCCTCTATAGTATTAGCGCATCCACACAAAAACCTATTATTATCAAAATAACTTAGATGCTGGTGTGAGGAAATAAGATTTTTAGGGGGAGAATTGGAAATTAATATTATCAATATTAGAAAACATATAGCGGACAGTGAGGCAATGACGTCACAGACTCAGGAGTGAGTTGCCAAATTGTTTTGTGATTTTCAAAGTCTTTCATGTCATTAAAAAAATCATAAGGTTTTTAATAGTTATCCAATTTTGCTAAACCTTTTTTTGATTTGTTTGCCTGAATTTTCTGCTTTTATTGAAAGTAAGTTATTTTAAGGGAACTTGCCCTTTAATTAGTTCAAGAAAGAAGTCAAATACACTAAAGTTTAAGTTTAACATCTTCTCATAATTATTCTCTTTTTAGTGGACTAATGGCTTGGAAAGGCTGACATGACAACGAGATTGGACTGAACTACCCAACGTCAACCCGTTCAAAGGAACTGATTATGTTTTATTTTTTCTTCTACTCATCAAACCGCCGCACAAACCGCGGGGGGGGGGGGGGGTTTCTTCTTGTAAAGGTTAAAACCTGCTGGTTGTGGTTTACTTCAATTAATATATATAGAGGCCTTCTTTTTATTTTTATTTCGAAATCTGTGTTCGTAATATCTATAGTTTTAAAGCAATGTTATATACTGCATTATATTGAACATTGTCTTGAATACTTCAATGCTGTTTGCAGACATGGGAATTCTGATCTTCTTTCTTAATCTTTACCGTTCATGTCATTGTAACCATTATTTGTTTTTATTTGATGCTCTCTCCCTCTATTTTACCATTATTTAAATCTTGATTTTTTATATCATCAATGAATTTCATCGTTGAAAGACTTACTTCATTATTATCCCTATCATATCAATTTATTTCGTTCATTCAATTGTAAACTTATAGTTCTTTTAAAATGAGAAGTCTTCTATCACAGCCCAACTATAAACCAAATTAAGTCACGTTCTAGGGATTTTAGGGAGGACGTTCCTAAAATCAATAAAAGTGCCCTTGTATATACAGTGCGTCCCAAAAAAAAATGAAACCCAGAATTGTCGATGTTTTATCATAACTTAATCACAATTATAATTAATAAATGACACATATTTGTAAACCTTAGATCCTCCTCTTTGATTTGATGCAACTCATATGATCCATATAACACGCATGGGTGATTAAAATAAATTTGAAGAGAGGGAACCAAAAAGTCATGTGGCGGACGGTATTTGAATTTTTAGAGAGAGAAAATCACATTTCCAGAGAGTTGAATTTCTACCATTTCATATGACACCTCTATCCGGAAAAATGAGCTAGGAATAACGAAGTTCTGTTTGCGTAAAGTAATGCTTGCATTTCCGTAATTTCATTAAAATTATTCGTTTTCACTGGGCGCCTGACGTAATAACAAGAAGAATTGACAAAAGACTTACAGGAGCTACACAAAGAAAATTCACTAACAACTCGTAATTAGAACAAATTATATATGGATGGAAAGATTTTCTCTTGAAAAACACGAACAATTTGCTGAGAAATCATATAGATATCATGGAAAGGCGTAAAATGCAATTTGTCAAGACCCTCCTTAGACCCCCGAACGCCCCTGAACGTAAGTCAAACACACAAGCGTAGCGAGCTTTGAATTGTGACGTCACACACTGAACGAAGAGCTGAGTGCCGTGTTGCAGTATGCAGCTAGCCAGCCGTGTCCCATATGTGACGTCCCAAATATTGACGCTCTACAAAGAACTGCCGAAGGCAGAAAATCTGGATCTCAAAACTAACATTTTTAAGAGTTGATTACTGCGGGCCCCAAACATATTTTGAAGAGAAGAGCTGTTGTATTTGATCGACAAGGCTTCCCCTTCGGAATGATATGAGTTTTGCATCAATTCAAAACACTTTTGATTCTTCGTGTGGCTACTAAACTCCGTTTCGTTGTCAATCAGATACGCATGAAGTCTTTCGTCAAATAACTTTTTGGTACCTCTCTTCAAATTGATTTTAATCACTCATGCGTGAAATATGCATCATATGAGTCGCGTCACATGAAAGAAGAGGATCTCAGATTTACAAATATGTGTCATTTATTAATTATAATTGTGATCAAACGGCGATAATTCTCTGTTTCGTTCTTTTCTGGGATGAACTATATTTACGCAGCGCATGAGGTGGTAATAGAAGGCTCAATTTTACTACTTTGGAGGGTATTTTTCTTTTCTTTTCCAGGAGGAGCCAGTATAAGTAGGCAATTTGTGCTTTAAAATAGGCTATAAAAGGATTACTATCATCAGAAAGGAGGGGGGGGGGGGTTGTATATAATTTAATCGCCTTAAGCAATATCCCTATTCAAAATCTAGAAGGAAAATTTCTCAAAAGTAGACCTTTTGAATTGAGTAAACTTTTATTAAACTTTTTCAAGTAACCCACCTTATAGTTAAAGTTTATCATTTGACCTGAATATTCGATCCTTTCTTGAAGGTATCTTTGGTAAAGTTATTTGTATGCTCAACTTTAATACATTTTGCTGTATTTCTTCAGAATAAAAATCTGGTATTAAAGGGAAACAATTAAATGTCTTTGCATTTTTTATTTGTCTCAATTTGGTTTTGATTCATTTTTAAGTAGGCTTAAAACTCTATAGGTTATTTTTTTTCTTAATTTGATAACCGTGATGATGATGATGATGATGATTAAGATGATATCGATAGTAGGCCTGATAATAATGGTAATTATAATGTAACTATTATAATAATAATTATTTGAAAAAACACGAATAATGATGACAATAGTGATAATAATGATAATAACGATGATTATGATAATAACAATGATGATAATGATAATAATAATGATGATTATGACAATAATAATGATGATTTTGACAATAATAATGATGCTAATAATATGATTATTTCAAAAATATTATTTTAGTCATGTATGGGTTATTTTTTTCTTATTTTGATAACCGTGATGATGATAATGATGATAATGATGATGATGATACCGATAGTAGGCCTGATAATAAAGGTAATAATAATATAACTATTGTAATAATGATTATAAAAAAAACACGAATAATGACGGCAATAGTGATAATTATGATAATAATAATGATGATTATCAAAATAATATTGATGAATATGATAATAATAACGATGATTATGATAATAATAATGATGGTTATGATAATAATAATGATTCTAATATCATGATTATTTAAAAAATATTATTTTACTACTACTACTACTACTACTACTACTACTACTACTACTACTAATACTACTACTTCTACTACTACAAGTAGTACTATACAACTACTACAAGTGACTACTAACCTCAGGCGCGAATCCAGGGGGGCCAAGCTGGCCTTGTCCCTCCCCCCCCCCCCGCAAAAAGAGAGAGAGAGAGAGAAGAAAAGAAGGGAAAGGAAAAGGAAAAGAAAGAAGGGTAAGACGAAAAGAAGGGGAAGAAGGAGATGGAGGCCGAAAGGGCCTTGCCTCCCCCTATAACAAAATAAGAGAGAAGGAAGGAAAGGGATAGAAAAAAGGGAAATGGAATATTATGTGCAATTTTCCAGCAAACAAAGTGTGAATCGTGGGGCCGATAGGCCCTTGCCTCCCCTCCCCCCCCCCCCCAGCAAACCTAAAAGAGAGAGAAGGAAGGGAAGGGGAGGGAAAGAGGAGAGAAAGGGAAAGAAAAAAAGAGAGAGAAGAAAGGTAGGGGAGATCAGTTGCGATTTTTCCCGCCTACAATCTGGGGGGGGGGGAACTTTGGGAGGCATTTTCACCCCCCCCCCCCCAATAAAATTCGATACCGGTGATTTGATTTGTCGCTGAAATGACCAAAGTTTCCGAGATTTGTCCTCATTTTATAGTAAATTAAACTTTTGTATGCGTTTGTTGGAAAATGACAAATTCCTAAATTTACTGTCTGGCAAGAAATAGGCTTATTTAGAGGCCTACATTTCTGGGCCCGCGAAACGGCGGGGCTCGGGAGCCTCGAGTTATCCCCACTTAAAAAAAAAAGAATATTAAGAAGAAATAGAAAGAAAGAGAAAAAGACCTGTCAGCGTCACAAATGCTCATCTGACCGTGAGTAAATGCCTACAACCCCTGAGTTTCCGGGGGCGTGGCCTCCCGGATTCTACCTAGGGCCCTAAGGCGGGCCCCTGCGGGCTCATTTGAAGGTAATTTAATGCCTAGAACCCCTGAGCTTCTGGGGGCTCAGCTCCCTTTAGCTCCACGCCAATTACTGTCCTGCCAGTGTCACAAAATAGTAAGGTATTAGAAAAATGCTCATTTGACCGTAATTAAACGCCTAATACCCCAGAGATTCCGGGGATTCTGCCCTGGACTCAACCAAGGATCCTAAGGCGGGCCCCTGGATACTCTTCTGACCGTAATGTAATGCCAAGAATCCTTTAGCTTCCGGGGGCTCCGCCGCCTGGACTCCTCGTCAATTAGTGACCTGCCAGTGTCACAAAACGTCAATAAGGTATCAAAATATGCTCATCTTACCTTAAATAAATGCCTAAAACCCCCGAGTTTCCGGTGGCTCTGCCCCCTGGACCCCACTTAGGGCCCAAAAGTGGGCCCCTTAATGCTCATCTGATGGTAATTTATTGCCTAAAACCCCAGAGCTTCTGTGGGTTCAGCCCCCTGGACCTCACGCCAATAGAGTACCGAAGCTGTGACGTCATAAAAATCTATTTTTAGAATTTCTCAATTTGTTCTTCATTTTCCGAACGAACATCAAAAATAACGTCCAAATGTCGAAAACCAATTGAATATGTTAAATATTGGCTGAGATATGACCTTCTGAATAAAGATACTCCCCATAGGAACTCAGTGTTATATGCTCTGGCTCCTAATGGTTAGGAGCCAGAGCATATAACACTGAGTTCCCATAGGACATATATTCATTCGGATGGTCATAACTCAGCCAATATTTAACATATTCAATTGGTTTTCTACATTTGGACATTATTTTTGGTGTTCTTTCGGTATATGAAGAAAAAATTGAGAAATTCTAAAAAAAGATTTTTGATGACGTCACACTTCACCACTCTAATAGTGTCCTGCCAGTGTAACAAATAAGGTATCAAAATATGTTCATCTGATCGTAAATAAATGCCTAAAACCCCCGAGTTTCCGGGGTTTCTGTCCCCTCAACCCCACCACGGGTTCGAAGGCGGGCCCCTTAATGCTTATCTGACCGATATCAATGTCGTAAAGCCCGTGATCTTCTGGGGGCTGGACCCCACGCCAATTCGTGCCATGCCAGTGTCACAAATGAGGTATACAAATATGCTCATCTAACCGTAATTAATATGCCTAAAACCCCTGGGTTTCCGGGGGCTCTGCTCCCTGAATCCCACCTAGGGTTCTAAGGGTGCGTTCAATCGAATTTTCGAAGCTAGAATCACAAACATGAATCACAAATCAAAACGCCGTTACAAAAAACAAGGTCGCTGCGGTTAGCGTTCAAGCGATTTTTCATCAACGCTGATTCTAGCTCATTTCGAGCCCAGCCACTGCGGATCACACTCGCAGTTTGACCCAGGAAGTATAGGTCAACTTCGGCGCGCGCTTTTTGGAATTGTTTACGGCCGACTGTCGACTGCTGTTTTGAGCATAGATCGCAATAATAAAACAAAGAGTGAGAAGGTGATTGAAGGAAAAACACATAAAATAACATAAGGAAAGACAGAAAGAGAAAATGATAGAATTATAAAAGCAAAGAATAACATAAGAGAAGGTGATAGAAGGAAGGAACAAAGAATAACATAAGGAAAGACAGAAAGAGAAAGTGATAGAATGCTTAAAACAAAGAATAACATAAGAGAGTGTGAGTGAAGGGAAAAAACAAAAATTAACATAAGAATAGAAGGAAGGAACAAAAAATAACATAAGGAAAGACAGAAAGAGAAAGTGATAGAATGCTTAAAACAAAGAATTACATTAAAAAAGCTGATAGAAGGAAAAAAAACAAAGATTAACATAAGAATAGAAGGAAGAAACAAAGAATAACAAAAGAGAAAGTGATAGAATTATAAAAACAAAGAATAACATAAGAGAAGGTGATAGAAGGAAGGAACAAAGAATAACATAAGGAAAGACAGAAAGAGAAAGTGATAGAATGATTAAAACAAAGAATAACATAAGAGAGTGTGATAGAAGGAAGAAACAAAGAATAACATAAGAGAAAGTGATAGAATGATTAAAACAAAGAATAACATAAGAGAGTGTGAGTGAAGGGAAAAAACAAAGATTAACATAAGAATAGAAAGAAGAAACAGAGAATAACATAAGAGAAAGTGATAGAATTATAAAAACAAAGAATAACATAAGAGAAGGTGATAGAAGGAAGGAACAAAGATTAACATAAGGAAAGACAGAAAGAGAAAGTGATAGAATGCTTAAAACAAATAATTACATTAAAAAAGCTGATAGAAGGAAAAAAACAAAGATTAACATAAGAATAGAAGGAAGAAACAAAGAATAACAAAAGA